AGGAATGAAACCTGAAAGTAGCAGGGTTGTAACTGCCCAGGTTAACACAGCAGGCTCATTCATTACTTAGGAACAGCAAATCCAACTTTTCAGTTACAAGAATGATTCCATTAGCCACTACGACATCAACGGCAGAGGGACACGAGATGGGGAATTGAGCTCACGGTTCTCTAATTCCTTTAAAATTGCCATTCTGCTCCAAAAAGGAGGTGCTAGAGAAACAGGATGCGAGCTTACTCTTCAAACTTGCTGCATTATTGCTAAATGAAGTATTGTCAGTTTATAATGTTTGCCTGCTCGCTTATGGTGGGATTTCAAAGTTCAGCAGAAACCATATTTTCTCATTAAATCACTCAGTAATAATTTTACATATCAAAATATGCTGCATTTGACACCCAGGCAACTGCTTTAGCTGCATGTTTGCATGAAAACAGCTGATAAAATATAGTGATTTTCCTTTAGGGATGGTGATTATTTAGCAACGCTGACTCTACAGTTTTAACGTGAGTGGAGAAAGGAGCAAAACTGCATGAAGCACATTGGTGGAGTAAGACACTGTGACTTTGGAATCCCCATTAACATCAGGAATGCAATTTCTCTCAGAGTACCTCCATGAACACTCAAAGCTGCTGTGGCATTCCCAGACACCCAGCAGCAACACTCACCATCCAGCAGCTTCCCATGGTACACGGCCAGGCCCGCCACCCGGCCAATGAACGTGAAATACGACAGGTGATCTTCGTTACAAAGACCTGAATTAGGATTAATCTGAAGTGTGTAGTTGTCCCTTTTTTGGGGAAAGAAAAGAAATATCTAAATAACCAAGCCTTTAAATAACAAGATATTCAGATATGTTAATAAACAACTTGAGCTTAGGGCCATTTCCTTTTTGTTTTTGCAAGCGTCATAATGTAATTTATCCACATGTTCCTCCACAGAAGCATCTGACAGTGTGTGGGTAGGCTGAGCTAATCAAAACTGGCTTGTATGATATGATGATTAATTGACAAAGGCAAGTAAAGGTCCTGCTCTGGAGTTGCAGGATCCACCTGTGGAAAGTGTGAGAGAGTTGTGCCAAGCTCTTCAAAGGATAAAACCTGGCACCGCTGCCATGGGTGCGACTCTGGTGGCACCTCAGCTGAGCTATCCCTGCTGGGCTGGACTGTTCACTCTTTCCTGCCAAATTTCAGGGCTTAACATTTTAGGATTCCCTTTTGCAGTAGTTGCTTTTAGTTCCTGAAGTAGCTGACAGTAATGTAGAGGAATTATGCACAGGACCTACTGTCCTAGGATGAAGAACATTTTCTCACTTGCATCTGAAACTGGACCTAAGAGAGAGCATCTCTGAAACAGGCTGACCCTGGGGTACTGGAAAAAGCTGCCACTAAGACCTTTAACTGTGTAACCAAGTATTAAGATTTGTGTGAAAGTGTGTGTGTCACAGTAAGACATTAGTGTAAAAGCTGTATTTTTAACCTCTGGAGTTGCAGGATCCACCTGTGGAAAGTGTGAGAGAGTTGTGCCAAGCTCTTCAAAGGATAAAACCTGGCACCGCTGCCATGGGTGCGACTCTGGTGGCACCTCAGCTGAGCTATCCCTGCTGGGCTGGGCTGTTCACTCTTTCCTGCCAAATTTCAGGGCTTAACATTTTAGGATTCCCTTTTGCAGTAGTTGCTTTTAGTTCCTGAAGTAGCTGACAGTAATGTAGAGGAATTATGCACAGGACCTACTGTCCTAGGATGAAGAACATTTTCTCACTTGCATCTGAAACTGGACCTAAGAGAGAGCATCTCTGAAACAGGCTGACCCTGGGGTACTGGAAAAAGCTGCCACTAAGACCTTTAACTGTGTAACCAAGTATTAAGATTTGTGTGAAAGTGTGTGTGTCACAGTAAGACATTAGTGTAAAAGCTGTATTTTTAATTTGCAGCATATTCTTTATCTGTGAAAAATATACAGAGTTTTAAAGTAGTTTGTTTTTTTTTCTTAATTCTTAAAATAACTGGTTAGATTTCTGAACATAAAATTAAATAACATGATCTGTAAAATATCTACAGTGACCTATGTCCTGTAAGTGGAAATATTTTGAAACAAATATTTATTCAGTGAACTCTGTTAAAACAGATGTTCACTGATTGTCAATGTTGTTTAAATTGTTTTCCTTCAACAGCAGAACGTGTCTTTTCTGAGACACTAATGACAGAAAACTCCCATTAGGCAGTCTTTGTTCATCTGCTTGACAGTCTATTCAACACTTTCTGAGAAAGTCTGACACTGACACAAACCCACCAAAACCACTGCCTGCAATTAAGAGACCCACCCTCCCTGCAGCCAAGCACAGCCAGGAATTGCAGACAGCACATGAAAACCAAGGGGCTTCAAGCAAAAACACTTCCTCTCTCCTTTGCACGAATGCATTGCTCAAAGATTTAAAAACTGGACAGAAACAAACAAACTTATGCAAGGCCATTGCTCTGTAACTGCTGAAATGTAAATGAGAAGCTGCTTTATGAGCTTATTATGAAGGAGAGCTCTAATCCTGGACTGCAGGGGTCTCACAGTGCTCTGGGGGGGCATCAAGGGAGGTTCCTGTCTGACCTCACTCCTTTCACCATTGCTGGCCTCAACCACTGCACTTGCGCAGCAAGCAGGGCAACACTGAATGCTGCCTTAAGAAGGGACATGTCTAAGAAGACTTCAGTGACAATTTGGAAGTTCACTGAAAAGCAAGTAAGAAAAGCTAAGACAGAACAGAGATTTGGCTGGCAAGGGCACCACCAAGCATGCTCCAGCTACTGTCCAGGGTAACTGCCTCTTCTGCAGAATCTAATGCATACATCTCTTATGAATGGAAATATTGTAATGGACACTTACGTTGCTGAATATTCAAAGAGACCGTAATAGGGATTAAACATCTCCTTGGACAAGAGAAAAAACCATTCTCTGGCCACACCTCCATAGTCGAGTCCTTTTTCTGACTCAAATTCAATCCAGAGCCTGGCTTTTAGTACATCAGGTCTCTTCACAGACATGATTCTTCTGTAGGACTCCTCAAAAATATTATTTCTGTGTAGCTTCATCTCAAATCTGTTTGGTATATCAGCCTATGTGAAAGCAGAGGATATTATTATACTGGTTAGTCTCAGCAAGTCAGTCTTCAGGCAAGTTACTGACCAGTGGCAACAACTAAATGACAAATTAGATATCTGATATATCAAGTTTCCCCTTACTTTTGTCTTCCAATGCTCTCTTGCACGTGGTGAAGTAGGTTCCAGTTTAGTGACAGGTTTGACAAAGCAATTAAACCCACCAAGAAAAATAACAAGCAAACAAACAAACCAAAAAAAGAGTGAGAAAATTATTGATATTACTGTGGCCTATTTTAAGGGCATTTTAGCTTAAGATGGTAACAAACACTCATACAGAAATATGTGAGTCTTAAAAATTTGCAAATTATTTTGTTGAGAACTCAAACTTCTTCATTTTCTTGGTTCCTACTTAACCCCTTTAGGGGTAGCACCACCAAAGACTAGCAGGGGTGTTGCAGCAGGGTGCACGCCACCCCAAGCCTGTTGTTCTCCCAGAGCCAGTGCTGCTGATCCCAGCACAAAGCAGCATGTTTCTACTCACTGGTTTCTTTAACTTCTTCCGGAAATAGTCGTATTTCTGCTTGAACTCCCTGGAATATGGGACTGCCTATTGGAGAGAATCATAAACACAGATTATTTCAGCTATTTAGCAGTTTGATATTCCAATGTGATTGAAACAAAGATGTGTTACCAGAGAATATGGATTTTCACAGCTGAAAGTGCTAGGCATTGTGAGGTGCTACTCAAAAGACACAAAATTCAAAGAATTTTGAAAATGTATGAGTTAAAGGGCTCCAGAAAAGCCAGAGAAGAACAACAAGGAAAAAAAAAAAAAGGAAGGCTTCCTCGCCTTGATCATAATATTTTCCAGCTACATCCTTGCTCTACTGTGCTCTGCTGTTCTTTCAAGATGAAAGAGTGAACAAATGAAGTGTGGGGTTTTTGGGAGCAAAGTAATGATTTTGAATTCCACAGGACATTCCCTATTTCCTGAAGGCTGAACAATTGCAAAGCTCTGGTTCAAGTTCAGCTTCTGGGTCAGGACTGGGATTTTGGGGGAGGGAAGTATGGGCTGGTCTAGAAGTAGATTCATAACTGGATGTAGATGAGAGGAGGAGGTGGAAGTATTTCTATATGAGTTTCGTCTTGTGGACAATGAGACATGAAAATTCAAATTAAATAAGTTTACTCTGATGATAATATAACTTTACAACAGCCATTAAATAGTTTGTCAGTGTTTCCATTGCTTAAATTCAATGTGAAATGCAATTTAAATAGTTCTTTGTTTTTGTCATGGCACTAAAAATACTAATGAAAACATTAAGATGAATCATTAATGCTTTTATGGCTGTAAAATGGATTTGATCCTGCTTTCTCCTTAAAAAAAACCAAACACACAAATAACTGTTATTTACTTAATGGGGTCATGATTGACCCTTATTAACTTGAAACAAAATTTCCCAGAGACTCTCTCCTTTATGCTTAAAATTTCCGGGAAAATAAACATTAAGAATTTGTACAACATTCTGTAGGTCAGTGTTTCAAGCAGCCACGACATTACAATCACTCCCAAAGCTATTGTGTTCAAACAAGTGGTTATTATTAATCTTATTAATAAAGCAAGAGCAACTGGAATTACACCACGCAGAAATTCCTCTGCTTATCCCAACACCTGTAAAAATCCTGAGGATCTACCCAAAATAAAAAGGTATTCTTGGCATTTGGGAACACCTCAGGGTTGGAAGTCTGATCACTCAGGACACCATAAAATGGCATAAACCAGAATCACTCCATACAGCCCATGTTTTCAAGGTTTGATATTAAAGTACAAGCAAGTATTCCTTTTTCCTGAGGGTGATATTCTGAAATCTCTTAGACTATCTGCAGAAGGTTTTTTCTCTTAAAACTGATAAAACTCAATTTTTGTCTCTTTTGTCTCTTACACTCTGAATCCACATAGTCATACCTCTCCCATCCTGAATGGAGGCAAGTTTTTACTATGCAGAAATTAAAAAATGAGCAGCATGGAAACTCAGCTCAGTACAATTCTGTTGTCAGTAATGACCTGGAAAATGGGTAAATATGAATGTTTCTCCCACACACACCCCTCAGATCTAGGCTGGACCAGTCCTTCATAGGCTGGACTTGATCTTAAAGGCCTTTACCAGCCTTGGTAATTCTGTGGTTCTGTGACCTCAAACTCTGGGGTTCAGCACAGAGAACTTGTTCTGCGATTCCCAAGATCTTCTGTCTCATGGTTCAGAGCAGACATGTGCCCTTTACACAGCTAAATATTGAAACATACTATTGGAATACAATGGAGGAATAAAAGATTAGATACAAATATTTAATATTGTTTGTTCCATACTAAGTAATTTATAGTCTAAGCAAGCATGGAGAAAGAAAAAAAAACCTGACAAATATTTTAGACTTACATTACTTTTTATGCAATTTCTTTGAAATAACATTTTGCCCCCCAGTTAATCTGTCTGGATTACTGCTTTTGTCCTGGAACTTCAGCCTTATAATAAGCAGCAAAATCCATGTTGACATCTTAAATGTTTCATTGGGATCACATCAGTAATGGATCTTTCAGAAACCACACTGATCACCATCCCTTTGTGCAGAAATGCAGGGGAGGAGGCTGGAAGACATGAGCAGTGATGGGTCTCTCTGTGTTCCAGAGCATGAATCCCCGCTCAGGTTACTGAGCTGTGCAGCTCCTGGGTAGATGGAGCTTCCCTCAGAAATAACACGATACAGAAATTGAAACCAGCCAAACACAACTGTCTGCAGCCTCCTGAGGAGCCTTCTCTTCCTCCCCACCCCACAGAGGTAATTCTGTGGTTTATACTGTCTTGTGACCAGGATTGATTCCAAGACACATGCAGGAGCCAGCATGGATGCTGATGGCTCCAGGAGCAGCTCTGATGGCCCAGGAACAGCTCTGGAGCCCAGGCATGACCAGCAGTGCCTCCTGCCTCCACCCACTGCACCTGAGTCACAGCATGTAGCAGAAAAACCCCACAGCAGGACTTACTGGACCAGTAATTGCCGGGTTCTGCAGTCTGGGGTCTTCCCACTGGGTAATTTTATTATCTGGAAGTAACAAAATAAATGGTATAATTACTGCTCTGGTACTGCACTGAGTGCCTGCTGTTCTGGTGTCCCTACAGCTGGTTTCCCTACCATTTCCACGACTTAGTATTTTGGGGTTAGAAAAGGCTGCATTCACCCTCCTACATCAAACCCCATCACACTGTTTAGTTGAAAACACTCATTCAAAAATGCAAAACTAGAACAGAATCCAGTGGATCTGCACTGCTTTTGTGTCAGCTGCACTAGTAAACATGTTCTCTTTGAACACAGTCTTGGATTCAACTCCTATGAGAAATACACAGACTTCATGCCTGAAAGGCAAAGAAACCCAAAAACTGCCAAATGAGAGACTGAGTTTACTTTTTTGAAGTTCTGCATAAAGACAGCCAAGATGTCATACTTTTAAATGACAGTCTGTATTTGAATTTGGAGGGAATAACATCTCTTTAAAAAAGAAAAACTCCTGGACACTGGTAGGACCATTAAGAGAGGCAAACTCATCAGGTTATGGTGAAGAGAACATTCTGTTTTGACCAAAGGAGACTTTGTCAGTCACAAGACAATCCAGTTCTGTTCATCTACAGGACTGAGGCACCAGGAGGGAGGTATGGTGAGGTGCTACAGGACCATGGTGAGACTCTCCCTGCCTCCAGACAACTGCTCCTCACAAGATTCTGAGCACAACAGAATCACAACAAAATGATGATGTTGCAACAATAAGACAATGCTCCAAAAACCAAACTAGAAGCCACCTACAGTGGCAAGGTTTGTCTTCCATTTCCTGCACTGAAAAGATAACAGTATAGTTACTACATCTATTTGCTATGTGCACTGCTTTGGTTTATTACCTGTGTATTAAGAAAGTAGTTCAGATTTTAATTTTTGTCACTGCTAGGTTTTGGAATAAACACACTAAGCTTCAGGAACATTGTTTTTATGGCTACTCTGGGTAAAGCAAAGAACCAAGCCCACCTGCATTAAAACACAACTGTTTTTTATACTTCTACAGTTGGAAAAGACAGGTAAGTTTTGAGCAATCCAAGCTAGTTTTAAAATGGACTGGGATTTGAAAGGTGACATTCATTAAGTGTTAACTAAAGAAAATGCAAAAAGATCAGAAGCAAATTTAATGAGATTTGATCTACTAGTTAATATTAAGATAGTGGTTTATTTACTTTAGCACATAAGATCTATTTAGGGCTTATCAAAGTTTTAGAGGAAGGTTGTTGGTCTGGCAGCTCCAGAAACCCCTCGAGACCCACAGCCCAGAGCCTGCCCCTAGGGCAGGACTCCTCACCTGCCCCTTTTCATCTTACTTCAGCTTTTCAGTCATGTTTCCTTCTACACAGTTTACTGCTTTTACACCAATTCATTTTTTATACCTGCTTGAAATTGACAGCCACAAATCATGGTGGTAATTTTCTATGAAAGGCAAAGCCATAGAACTGGAAATGCCTGCAAGTTTGTCAGGTCTCTCATCACCCTACACACCTGAGAGTGTATGATGTCACTGACTAGTCTCTGTTTTTCCAGAGTATCACAGGGGTGAGAGGAGGATTGTTTCAGGTCTTATTTAAGACACTCCTCTTGATACATCAGAGGATCAGTTAACTCATGTCCAGTTGATGATATTTTTCATGCCCTTTTCAACCAAAATTCTGCTAATTATTCCCATTCTGAGCAATACTTTGCAATTCTTACTAAACAGCATCAGTGAGCCACCGATGACTGCTCTGAGTCTGACCGAAAACCTTCCTGACACCTCCCAGCAGGTAAATCACACTTTCCCATGGGGCTCCCAGGAAATGCAGAAGTATGTATGTACATGCTGCAGTGCCCAGAGGATACTATTTTATTAATGGATGGTAAATAGTGTTGACTGAGCCAGCCAAGGACCAGCCATGAGGAACTAGAGGCTGTATTGCTGTTAAGAGCTTGGCTGCTGCAGAGGGTAGAGCCCTTTGCAGTTACAATCTAACAAGATTATATTGTCAGGATACTGCGACAACACCTACACTATTTTAGTAGTACTTTGCTTGACTGGTCTCTATGGCATGTCAGTAGCAGTCGCATTGCTCCACCAGAGGAGGTTTCTGTGCTGGTTGCATTAGACTTTGTTATAGTTTCTCTGGGGGTGAGAAAAACATCCCGAACACTGCACAGCCAGGCTGGAGTTATGCAGGAGAGTTACAAAATACCTGGGGAATGGGGGTATTCCCCGCAGCTGAATCTGGCAACACTTGCAACATTTATTTGCATCTACTAATGAAACTGGTAACATTTGTTGCATCTTAACTAACTGCTTTAGCAGAGAAGGACTGAAATGAGTAGTTTATCAGGGGAATGGACTACTGAGGATTTTAATTATGATTTAATAATGTCACATGTACAACTAACTACAGGTAAGGATCAGAGTCAGTTCTACTGATACTGAAGAAAAAAAACCCCAATACTGTCAAATATGTGTAATAGTTTAAGGTTTTAATTATTTTTAAGTTTTGTGGAGGGTGAGTCCCCCCTTCCAGTGATTTTGTGAGCTACCCCTTCCTGTGAAGATTGTGCCACCAGCAGAAATATGTCACTGTAAAGTCCTGCTG